AGGGGGGGGGGGGGATGTTTTTTTTCTCGTTTGTTACTGCGGATGGGAAAGTCCTAGGAATCTAAACGAGACAACTCTGATATGGTCTAGCCACCCTCTTTCTTGAGTGTTACAGTGTTTCTTTACATCTCCAGTCCTGTAGTGAACTGGGTCTTTTAAAAAAAGTTCTTGGAACCTTAGATATAGAACTGAAATTTCCATAAAATGGTAGTCCCCTTCTCAACTGAACTTGTGTTTTGTCTTCTCCCTGCCCTGTGCACTGACCACTACAGTGTGTGGCTATCATCTCAGAAGCAGCCAGTTCCGGTATCTCGTTGCAAGCTGACAGACGGGCTCAGAACCAGAAGCGGAGGGTGCACATCACCCTGGAGCTGCCCTGGAGTGCAGACAGAGCTATCCAGCAGTTTGGTAAGACCGCAGTGGGCGCTGGACTAGTTTGGGAAAAGGGCCATTCCGTGAAAAATGAAACCACGCATAACACAGATGAAGACCTGAAAAAAATTTTCTAAGCAGTAGAGACGGACGGGAAGCGCTTTATTCTTCCCGAGCGAGAAGACCGAGAAGCTGACCTACTTCTCGCCGGTACCGGTCCCGAGAAATGCTTCTGGTCTCGCAACCAGTTTCTCTTCTCGCGCCGTTCACGAGTTGCTCGCTTAGCGAGAAGGCTGGCGGTGGCTGAGATTTCTCTTCTCACCCTGTTCATGGCGGGATCTAAACTAGGTTAACCCTGTGGCGCAGGCGGTGAAGGAATGTCGGGAGACTTGGGCCTAGGCCCTGATCAACTCCCCTCTCGCCTTGTCTCGCCACCCTCTCCTCTCTCTTTCTGTTTGAGACACAGGATGACACGGTGATGGGTGACACTGTCTGCGTGTCATTTCTCGCTGGCTGTGCCGCTCTTTCCGTCGACACCTCTCACTTTCTCGTTACACGTTATGTAAAGCCAACGAGTGGTATCACTTCTCGGTACCGGGCAGTTGTTTAGTGCCCGGAAAGTGACGGGATGGGCATTTCTCACGAGAAACGGGTACTCTTCTCGGCTGGTGCCTGCTCCTACTAAGCTGTGGTTTAGCGCTTTATGGGTTGGTAGTTAAAAATTTTTTGGTTGTTTTGTTCTCTTCACTGGTCCTGAGGAGCCCTGTAGGTGGGGTCATGGATTTGTTCACTGGTTTTAGTTTCTTGAAAGACCTCAAAAACAGGGTGACTGCCAGGCCCCCGGGAATGAGAAAAAAATTGAGAAGTCGGGTTGGCAGTCAGCCTGTCAGTAACATCATAGTGGAAATATTTTTGCCTTGTCAGTTTGATGTTTTTTCTTGTATTCTTGTCTGTCTTACTGTGTGAATTGCAAGTGGCTGATTTATTTTGGGG